CATAGTACTAGCGTATTTTCGGAAAAATTAGTTGCAATTGAATTACGCAAACTCGAAGTTAAATTCTACAAACCAATCTACGTCGGCATGTGCATACTCGACATATCAAAAGTATGTCTTTATGAATTTCATCACGAATACATGTCACCGCTCTATGTGACAATTGTAGAGTAATGTACACCGACACGGACAGTTTAATTTATCAAATTAAATGTCAGGATGTCTATGAAAATTTGAAACGCGATATCGCTCGATTCGATACCAGCGACTACGCCGCGAATAATGCGTACGGTATACCACTCGCGAATAAAAAGGTGCCAGGTCTGATGAAAGATGAGAATAACGGCGCGATAATGACCGACCGATTCGTCGGGCTTAGAGCAAAAATGTATGCTTTGCGGGTGGACGGTAAAAAGGACACTAAAAGGCAAAAGGTGTCAAAAGTAACGTCGTAGCGCGTAGTATAACATTCGACGATTATACGCGTTGCCTTAATGACAAAATTGAAATGACGCGTCATGCATAAAATCGAAATTGCATAAAGTGTATACCATCAGCGAGACAAAAATTGCTCTAAGTCCCTACGACGACAAACGGTATGTCGTACCTGAGTCGACCGACACCTTGCCGTGGGGACATTATAGAATACCGTTGTAAATTATATTTATTATATTTATTATATGTATTATATTGTGAGGATGTATTAATGAGAAGTATATATTTTTTGTTATATATTTTATATATTTTATATATATGGTATAATATATATTATGTTATACAATGATTGAATAAAATACATTAAATAACATTGTTTTTATGTATCCAAGAATTGTGCGAACTGTCGAATCCCAGCCATTTCACGTAAACCTCGTCACCCCTCCTGCGCAGTATTTTCTCCACGAGGTACACTTCCGGACAATTTGCGCGATGCAGCTCGTGCTCGTAAAACGCTCCAGCGATAGATGTCTTGCGATAATCCTCGAGTAGATATGTTACGGGATTAGTATGCTGCACTTTAACAATCTTAAACACCTCGGTTGTCCAATT